ACAACAGTGAAGATTGGCTTGCAATAGTGATTCGGCATTGCAACTTGCAACAAGAATTCACTCGCAGCCTCGCAAGTCCTCTCTTTCCCTCCTCTTCAATGGGATTTTCACAATATTATGAAAACTGAGCACACTGTTTAAGATATGTTCATGCCAAAATAGGAACAGGGTGGTATGTGGGAACAAACTAGAGCAAAAGAGGGTGTTTGGCTTCTTCCTTTCTTGTTATTGTGGGGGCGAGAAAGAGAGAAGGAATCAGAGTCTGACATTAGAGGGTCATGTGCTTATTTTTAGAACATCTCAGTGTTCTTTGTACGAATTCAAAATCACCAATACAAAAGACGATTCTTCTTACTGTTATTCCCCCCCTTTTTTTCTTTTACTCCTTTCTCTCTTTTTACCCCTTTTATTTTTGGCTTTCTTTTCATAAGAGCTATGTGCAAATGAGACTCAAATTCTCCAACCATTTCAGATGTATGACCAAATCATTTTATGAAATCTACATAGATGCAGACATTGGCTACGTGTTCTGCAAGCTAGTTCTTGTGGGTGTGTACATAGTAGTGTATGCTATTGCTGCATTGCAGCGGCAATTATTAATTATTCTATGATGATTAATTTTAATTTTGTTGTAAATGCAGTTTGTTTTTTCTTTATTTGGGTATATTTGTTTAGTTGTGCTTGTTGGAGATCACAATCTAGAACTGGATCCTTTGCAGTTTGAAAAACATATAAGGCTGATGAGGCAACCCTGCAGTTTTGAATAGTACTATATGGATTTAATTATTGCATTCATTTCATATAATAAAAAAATATAGAACGGTGGAGATTCCATGTTTTTTAATTGCAAAGAGCACATCTTCAAAGTTCAACGTTGCTAACCAAATTTTCTGCAATTGGGATTGAAGGATTGGGAATTTGTTGGTTTTGGTAATAACTCAGCTCTCACACTAAACTTCAATAACTACTCTCTAACTCAGTTTCATCCACACAGACCCAGTTTCTCTAACTCTTCCACACTCCACCAAGTCTTGCAAAGGAAGAACACCCTTTGGAAAACCAAGCTCTTCTAAGAGCTTTATGGAATGCTAGTAACACTCTTCAGAACCATACACTATCTCAGCACCTTCACGCTCCTTTACCACACAGTTGCTAGCCATTTTAAGAATAGTATTCAAGTTCAACCAACGGTATGCTAATTAAGGACATAGCATATCATTATATAATAATAATGACCAACAAAAAAGTTGAACAGTTTGGCCCGTTTTGAATGCAGTAGTTCACCCATTTGCTCCTACCATTTATAGTTTGGTGGGTTTTGGCGTTGTTCACCTATGTAGAAATATATGCAGCTACCAGTGCTAGCATGGATTAGTACTTATAGGCAGAGTCAAATAAAAACTCGCGATGTATTAAAATATTAATGAAAGAGACAATAAAGACTATACTAAAATTAATTTAATGCTAGAATTTTTTATAAGTTGTGGTTATGAATATTGTGCTCATGTGATTACTCTTATTTTATTTATCATAGAAAAGGATTGAACTTTGAGTATTGATAAACTATACTGATATAAAAGTAGGTGAATTGTGTGATACTGTCGTGCTCTGCTTTGGAAACTGATTTTCGATTACCTGATATTGGAAGTGATCGCGTAGCTAATGTGCTCTTTTATATTGAATCGGATTGCCTCTTGTCATTTGTAATGATTTAATTGGGAGATTGAATTGATTAGAGTTCTCTCCCATATCATATTCTACTTTCCATGATTGACGATTCACTGATTCAGGATATTTGGAATAGTGTGAATCTGTTTTGTTGGGTGTTACATAGAATCCTACTTGAATTGCTAAATTTTGAATTCACACCACCTTGTACTGTAAAGCTCTTTCTTTAGAGGATGGGAGTGCTTTCCTTCCACGCATTGCTTTGAGATATTAGGTGGAGGATGGACAGATCGGTCTAATTAGGTCTGGTATAACATTTTAATTGAATTGTTGAAGTACCTTGTAAAGGGGTAATGACACTCAGTTTATGTTTAGTACTATTAAATTAATGAGATAACAAAGGTGCTTGACTTCCATTAGTGGTTGCTGAAATGGAATGTGACTTTGATCACGGACAGTAAAAAAAATTCTTTCTAGACATTTACACATGTATTTATATTATGATTTCTCCCCCTGGATTTCAGGTATGGAGTGTTTTGACACCCAGAAGAGATCATGGTGCTGTGCCTAGACGGATTAAATCATTTATTATCTGTCTTTTCGTCCTTTATTCCTTTTTTGGGTTTTCACAATATTTGGAAGACAATGGTGGGAAAGGGTTCTCTAGAGAGTTATACACGCCTTTGACTGTTAATGGGAAATTGTGGCATTAGAGTATTGAGATCAAGTCAGATAATAAAGGCAGAAATAGAAGATTCTAGGATACAGTTGGATTCTGAAATTCGTACTTTAACAATGACTAATTGTATACAATCTGGATGGGATATAAAACAATACTTTTTCTATCAAAAGCATACAAAATCAGGGATACAAAACAAATAGCAAAAGAAGATTTTTATATGTTTTATTATCAATGCAGTTAGCGTAAGTGAGATTGAAGCACTGTATGAACTGTTCAAGAAAATCAGTAGTGCTGTAATTGATGATGGACTAATTAATAAGGTGAGTTGTGCCATCTTTTGCTTTGCCCTTCTATCAATGTGTTATGAACATATGAAATTTGTTTCCTCAACCTTTCTGAATGATGGATTTCTTCCTAATCTACCCATAGAATCATAAGTTCACAAATGTATTATGTTTTATGTAAAATGCACTACTCATCAAATTTCCTATCATGTATTGCATTATTTGTTTGTGTTTTTAAATATTGTCTTTTTATTTGTTTTTATGGTTTCTTTATTTTATATGGCAAGAAGAATTTCAGTTGATTTTGTTCAAGACAAACAAGAAAGAAAGTTTTTCTCTAAGAATAAAATCAGTTTTAACTAAAATTGAATTTAAAACCAGTTTTAATCAAAATCGGATTTAAAATTAATTTTAAACTAAATTTAAATTTTAAGATCAGTTTTAAAAGTTTTTTTAAAAAATAAAATAAATTAGTTTAAAATTAAATCCATAAATTGGATTTAAAATATATTTAGATTAGTTTTTTATAAATCTAATCTATACACATCCTTACGTCTAATCCTTAATTATCAAATGGTTTAGTAATAAATATCGTGAAAAGTGTCCAGTCGCATGAAGAGTAAAAAAATATATAAATAAACGCATTTTTAATTGCAAAAATATATAAAAAGTAAATTTAGAGTAAAAAAAAATGAAATTTACTTAATTTTTATAATTTATAATAAATTTTAATTAATAATTAAAAATGTGTTAAAAATGTCATTAACAATTTTTTTTTGTTATTTTATACTGATAGTTATAGTTTCATAATTATATTTAAGGCTTTATTAACAAGCATTTAAAACTGATAAATTTTTATTATATTTGAACTTTATTTTCAATTATTTAAAATTAATTTTATGAATTAATGGTTGAAAATCATTATTACAAATAAATAATAATAATGATATAAAATATTGAACTTTATTATAAAATATCTAAAGTTTCTTTTTGGTGAATATATAAGAAATTAACGAGAAATTGGAAAAAAAAATATTATTTGAGTTTTTTTTACAAAAAATTATTTAGATTTGAAAATTAGTTATGATTTTTAAGTTATTTTAAATTTATTTTAATAATTTTTATTAATAAAAACATTAGATGATTTTTCAATTTATTTTAATAAAATTTTCATGTATTAAAATCATATTTACTTTAAGATATTTATTCAAACGTGGCGCAAAATGATAGTATCCATTTGCAATTGTAGGTTTTTTTAAGTACAGGTAAACATGTATCATTGAGATATTGTTTAAAGATTAATATATTCTTAATATGTGCTTCACAATTCATTCCTCTCTGTTTAATATTTAATGAAATGTCCATTATAATGGACATTTTCTGACAAAGGAGACAAGAACAAGTTCATAAACTGTGTCAACTAGACTAATTATTAACTGAAGCATTATCATTTTGCACATATATTCATATAATAATTTCATTTCGAGATTAAATGTCAATTCATAATTAACTTAAACACAAATTATATAAGAACTATTTGTCTTAATAAAAAAACTTTTCATCCCTCGCAAGTGGTGAGGATGCGTTGAACAGATTTGCTAACATCTAATTTATTTTTTTATAATCAAAATGCCACATTATTTTACTAAAAACTCATTGATATTTTTTTTTATTTTAAAATTATTTTTCTCTACTTCAATGTACAATGAAAAAAGCTATAAGTTAATTATTATTTCTAATCTTATTTATTAGAAATAATTTATAATTTTTAAATATAAAAAATAAAATTTCATTTTCAAAACATTAATTGATAAATTTTTTATACTCTTATTTATTATAAAATTTGTATCATAAAAAAAACGGAGTCAGATTCATTCACTTAATACTATGAATAATTTGTAAATAGAATATAAATTTATAATTATTCTTGATAAATTAGTAAGAGTATTGTTAATCATTATGATGATGTAATAATGATACTTAGAAGTAAAAGCAAGCCAGACTTTAAATCAAACACGCAAGAGATAAGAACTATCACCTTCCTTTCCGTCAACGTATGCATTTTTAGTCGCCCAATAATTAGTAGGGATGATCTATTGATAAATGCTTTCTCTAACTCATGTCAAATCATGATTCATGCATGCGCATTAACGAAAATTAGAATCAAGAAGATACTAATTGAGACGTGCACGGAATTCCTCAGTCACACGTAACAACAGTGTATATCTTAGGAATTTGAAGCCTTTTGATGATTCAGCATTCACCAAGCAACAAAATACCCGGGGCCTGCAACCCATATTTCATGTTTGTAAAGCTTATAATTTAATATGATTCCAACGAGACCAAAAAGGCAAATACAAATAATTCTAACGACAAAGGCATTGATTTGATGTGAGGTTTTCTGAACTTGTTTTTCACTAAAAGCAATTAATTCAAGTCAACCAAACTAGTTGGTATTGCCTAACAACATGTGAAGACCATTGCCCAACACGAGAAACCCCCAAGGGCTAATGGCATATATACTGCATTATATATCGGTACATTTTTGGATACATGAATCATCTCCATATGCAATAAACTAATGGATCTGTACAAAATAACAAAACACTTTGTCTTCCTATATTTATCTTCTGTATTTTTTCACCTTTCTTTACAGAATAATTCCAGCTTCTAATCCGTCTGAAATCACGAATTAATGTATGCAGATGTTCAAGAATAAAAGCTTGATTTACATCTTGCCCTTTCCTCAGCCATTATCTGACATTGCCAAGAAGATCAACAATTGAACCTGCTTTAAAGAAGGTAAATAAACAACTAAGTTCGAAATAATCGCTGAGGATTTCTGGCATGATATGCTTAATTTTATGAAACGTTGGAGGAGCTTGGATTTCAAATTTCTATTGCACCCTGAACCAAATCCAAACAATCTGGATGCCAAACAAAAAATGTTTTCTAAACCCTAAATCTCGTGTTAAACGAGAAGTTTAAGAATTTTAAGGTCCAACTAGGTCGAACAAGGGTTCTGTAAATTACACAAATACATGTACATAATTTAACAAAATAAAATATACATATATTATGAATGCAAATATAAGTAAAATCACAGAAAAATATTGAACCATATATCGATCTGATTAAGCATATCAAGTATTAAACTACATATATTTACTAGTAACTTTCTCTAACTTATGTCAGTGCAACATCAAATAACTAGAAAGGTAGAGGAAAATTTTCTCATCCTATGCAAGTCCCACATCGAATAATAATCAAGAGGTAAAGGTAAAGCTTCTAAATATAATTTGGACACAAACCATTCTTGCAAGGTTGCAATACATATTCCTATTTGCCCCCATTGGACAAACTAATAGCAGAAAGTCCGAATTTTTATCATAAATCAGGAACCAAATCAATTCAGCCTAGTGAAAAGACTTGTAATAAATTAATTAAAAAAAGGCCTTCCTCAAGGCACTGGTTGAGGATCAAAAACAGAATTTTTATTGACACTGATCAGCATTTTCATTGAAAAAAATGTGTGAAACAATTCAACCACATGACCAGTTCAGATAGATCAACCGATACAGTACTAATTTACCCACCGGTTTTAAAAATGCATCGTTTATTTTGCACTTAACCTGACCAGCCAGAGGTATTCCTGCTTGGACTGGCTGGTCTGTCAACGTTTGTAAACATTGGAAATAATCTGCTCACTACAACGAGGAAAGTATAAAACTCTTTTTTATCTTAATGTATGTAATAATTATTCTTTTCTTATCATAATGTAATAATTTTTCCTGGTTGGAATTTAAGGATGGTATTGACAAACTGGGGAGAGCAATGGAATGGAGATAATGCAACTTACCTCTCAACAACCAAAGGAAAGTTTATTCCTTGCTAGATTTTGTCCAAAAGAAGCCCTTCTTTCTCGTTTGGTGATTATCTAACATGCACTTGGAACTCTTTGACCCAAATGAGAAGTGTCTCTTCAGAAGAGGTTTCACATTAGAGGTTCTCCCACTGGAACTAGATTCCATTCTAGGAATTTTACCTTGACGCCCTCCATCACTAAAGTGATCAAACATAACAGAATCATCATCAATATCACTGTCCACAATTCGGTTCCTAGATTTCTTATTTCTAGCCTTCAAATCCATTTCAGCTTTCAGAGCTTTTTCAGACAACTTATGAGTTTGCTTCTCACCAAAAGTGCAAATTGGGCAAGCTGGATCATACTTATTGACTTCGGGTGTCAAACTCTCCAAACATTCAGCATGATAGACATGTCCACAAATAAGAACAGAAACTACAGATAAGTCATTACTTGCAATTATCTTTTGGGTGCTCCAAGAAGACTTCTCAGTTAAAAGTTTTGAGCAAACACCACATGTTTGAAGATCAGCAGACTTTGAAAACTGACTATTTGATCTAACCAACCTTTCACAATTAAAACCAAATGACTCACTATCAAATGACCAGCTTTCTTTCTGGGAAGTGTCCATCAACTCAGAAAAGCCAGGCCTAGACCAATAATCTGAAGATCCACCATGGGAGTGCATACCAGATTCATTGCACCATGAAGGAAACACTGGCCTTTCTTCAGATACATAAAAGTTGCTAGGTACCTTAAATCCCAGGATTCGGCTATCAGAAACTTGTCGTAGTAGTTGATGTCCTGGGGAATGGCAGGGCCTTGAAGGGGTTGAGCTGGATGGAAGTGGGTGACTTTGTGATGGTACAGGAGATACTGACAATGTAGTAGAAGAAGGCAATCGTGGAGGTTTTGTGGTATACGGACATGATAGGGTTGATGATTCTGCCAACTCCTTCACCTATAAATGTGATTCATAAGTAGGGAGTGTATCAAAGATTTCAGATATAAACTACGAACAAAAACATAAAACAATAGCAGATTCCTTCACTATTATAACCTCACCCGTTCCGTGCTTACATTCAAGGTGACATTCCTTGAAATAGATTGATCTGATATAAACATAAACAAACATTGTCAGATCTATTAATCAACAAGTTGAGCCGAGCAAATAATTTACCAATGGATCAATTAAAACAGGGTCAGAAACATTTTTTAAGAGCACAATTGCTGTCTTGCATGGGTGCTTATGGATAATCTAGAGAAGATACAAAGCAAAACATGCAAGGCCACTGCAAAAGCACATAATTACTGTTTATGCTTGTGTAGACATATAAGTCCAATTTTTTTCAAATGGCTCTAATACACAAAATTTTCTTAAGTATGGACACTCATCCAAGATAGTGTTTTTAAAGGGAAATTTTCATGATCATGGCTAACAAGATTTTCCATTCCGTTTTGAAACTAAAGGGACTTAAAACTAAACATTTAAAGTATAGGTGCCAAAACCAAAACTGAGAAAATCATAGGGACTAAAAATGTATTTAAACCAAAATTTTTCCTGCATTACTAAATAAACAAAATGATGCCATCCCTTTACCATCTTTTTTCATTTTCCATTTTTTGTTTTTATTTTTGTGCACAGTAAATGTAGTATAACTAAGGCATTGGTTTGCACCTATTTCTAACAGTTCATTCTTCTTTTGTGGTCCCATTAAATTTAAAATTATTATCTAATTCGCTCTATATTTGCTAGTGTAATAATAAAGTAATATAAAAAGCTAAATCTGTTCCTGATATGGAATTATCATTCTAATCATATTTACAGCTAATTTTATTTTTGTTTTCTTGTTTCTGATAGTTTATGAGAAACTTAAGTGAAATACATCACCATGTTCCCAAATTTAATGTACCATACTGACTAATTTTATGTCTTCCACATATCGTTGCAATTATATGTTCCATTCTATTTAAAAACTTCAACCCAAGTAGGTGTATAGTTAAAACCAGAGAGTTGATTCCATGAAAGTTACCGGAAGATGAATTTATCACTTGTCCAGCAGTTCCTTCAGCAGTAGGGGATTTTTTCCATCTATTCCTTTGATAATTCTGCAACGGGCTTCCATCCTCCGATTCATATGATGATTCATTTTTATTCTCCAATCCATCATTCCTGTTAATACCATCAGAAAACCAATCAATAGAAGTATCTTCACCAGCTACACGCCCTCGATGATCCCACCGGAAGCTCCAAGTCGGAGAACACCGAATATTACGATGCAAGATTTCACTGGCTGGTCCACTCTGTATAGTTTTATCTTTGGCTGCAACACAACAAGCAGCACCCATTCTGAAATGTTTCCGTATTTTGCTTCTCACATTAACAAAATCGTCCCTAGCACGCACTTATTCCCTGGGTGAAGACTGCTCTCTCACTGTAACAGTGATGAGAAAAACTATACCATCAATTGTAATGATCCATAACATGACAGTCCAATGCATAATCGAAGAAACAATAAAGAAGAAATACCAATCGTTACTCAGCCAGTATTCTTGCAGAAGTAAAACACAATTCCAAATTAAAATACCCCAACAAAAAAGAATCGAACATAAGATAAAAATAAGTAAGAGAGCCCAGTTACAAAAGGGTACGGAATAAAAGCGAGGGCAATCAACTATTCATTGAATCAACATAACCTAGACTTCCAAAGAGGTTAGGCTTCACTTCTTCAGCTTAAAAAGGCGTAAACTTGGGCAAAATTTATCATCAAATTTTTGCAAAAGAAAATCATCCCTAAATTTCCCCCAAATTTTAAGGGGATATACTAAACTTTACCTTAATTTACAAAGCAACCAGCATCGAATAAAATATTAATAGCAGTGAAATGAACCCAATACAACAGAGTTCAATCAGCACGGCCATAATATTATCTATGTAACAACACACTTCATCAACTACAAGTATTCTACTTTCATCTTACTTATTGGAGTTACCAACCTCAAATCACCACAATAACTTAATAAGAAAACACTTCTAAGAACACAAAACAGCATGAGCCAAATAAATACACTTAAAAGAGTTCAAATATGATACAATCAAACATACCAAAAATAGAAAGAAAAAACAACTCAGCACTCACTCTCATACACTGAAAAAGTCAGAACGATCTGAAATCAATGCTGAAACACCGGAATTCGCAGTCAAAACCACCGAATTTCCATAATACTAAAAACAAACAGTACATTTATCAAAATATAAAGTAGCGTTACGTGATGGAAGCGTACCTTTAACGGAAACAAAGGGGAGAGCTGCATCCCGTTGAAATGAAATTGTAGAGAGAGAGAGACAGAGAGAGTTTTGTAAAGAGAAAATGAGTGAGGAGAGAAGGGAAAGGGGAAGAAGAGTACAGAAGACGAAGCGAGCGGCGCCGTCTATTCTGACGCCGTTAGAGGGTCTTTGTCATTGTGTTCGCCTCTTTAGGGTTGCCGTTGCATGTTACGGCGTTAGTTGATTACGTGGTTAACTTTCTCATAATTTTATTTTATTATTAGGTTTACGCCTTTTCAGATATATTTTTTTCTCTCTATATAAATTTATTTTATTTTATTCTATTTTATTTTATGTAAATTGATAATGTATTTAAATTCTTATTTTAACCCATTAATGTTTTTAAGCAAGGCACGCGTGATTATTCTAAAAAAAATAATATATAATACAGAATAAATTTTTTGATTAGTTTCTAAAATTATGTGCATCAAATAAATTAATCTTTGATATTTTTAAAAGGATAAGTTAATATTTTACAAATGGTAAATACTTTAGTTTGATTTATTATTTTTGTGTGTAAATTTTTTTCCTTAAATAATACTAAAATGTTAATACGATGTTGTTTAATATAATTTTATTTACTAATTTGATTAATTTTCATTTAAGTTTTATTTGAATTTTATGTTGAGAAGGAAAAAAAAAGATTATTATCATTAATTCTTATTTGAAAGTTAATTAAATATGCAGATAATGATTAAGAAATTTTTTGAAACTCTTCAAAACTCTTACGAGTTTCTTATTTTGGAGAGTTTTAGTAACTTATATAATCAGATTTATTATTTATATTTTTATTTATTAGATTCAATATTTAATTTTTCTATTTTTAAAAAAAATATAAAAGAGTAATAATATTATTTACATGTTAAATTCTTCATTTTCTTTCCTTCTTAATTTAAACATCTAAGAGAGGAGAAAAAGGATTAAATTTTTCCTTTCTCCTCCCCTCCTAAGCTATTCAAACTTTTTCCTTCTCTCCTCACTCCAAATTTTTAAGTAAAGCCTTAGACAACCTCTACCACTAGCCTAAGCTTTAATCTCGCCTTTCTCCTCTACAAAATTACTTCCACTCCTAATTTGAGCTTGATGTTGGAAGATTTAAGGGATATGAGATGATATATAATGTGTTCGAATGCACTATATTCAAAAGATAGGAAGAGGCATGAGAACCATAGAAGTTTGGCAAGGCAATAATGTTAGAGGGTAAACCAGGAGACATGAAAGTCTTGCGAGAGAAGGAACTAAGGAAGGGAGAGTGAGAAAATGTCAACGAGAAGGAGAGAGAACACGATGGTGGAGGCGTTGAGTTCACTGGTGACTAAGACTTGAACGTTATGGATAAAAAAGAGATGAAAACAATGTCATTTTGAGATAATGGAAAGAGAAATAACATCATTTTGACATCTTAGATATCACTTAATAATAAAAGTTAACACTTTTATAACCATTAGTTAAATTAAAATGTCTTACATTTGTAAATTGAGGATTAAATAATTCATTTAAAAATTTTAGAAACCAAATTTCTTAATGTTCACAATTAAAACTTTTTTTTTTATCAATATAAAGTTTTAATTTAAGTTATGGATTTTATTAGTTAATTTTTCCTCTCTCTTTTGAAAGTATGATATACTTTTACTCAATAAAAATATGATGATATAAAACTTTTATGAAAATATTATTTCTTTGATTCAAAATTAACATTAATAATTATTTCAATTGGTTAAAAAAAGGATGCATAGACACAAAAAGAAATAATTATTTTACAATTAAAATATAGTTTAAATGAAAATCTTATCATAAAACTTACATTTCCATCATAGATGAATCTTTATATATTTCTTATAGACTTTAAACTTTGCCAAAATTAAGCTCATTCCACTTTTCTAAGATCTAAATCATTTGTCATTTTGGTGTAAACATCACTCTGCAATGTAAAATTGCTGAAACAAAATAAGTGAAAAAGTGATTTTTATTTAAGTAAAAATAATTCGTTTAGACTAATTTTTTTATTTTAATTAAAATTATAAAATAGTTAAAATTTTATATTTTTTCTCTAAAAAATTGCTTAAGTGAAACTAGAATATATATATATATATATATATATATATATATATAATATTTCCATAGGCTAGCTCTCCTAAGGTAAAGGAAGAAAGTATAACAAATTTTTTTTCATTTGTGATGGTTTAAAAATATTTAAGTAATTTTTTAAAAATATTAACGATATACATTTGTGTCATGGAAATTTTTCATTAGTTATTTTACGAAATTTAGATGATTTATTGAAATAATAATGAAACCATTAAAATTAATTGAGATGATTTTTTAATTTATTATGATACTTTGAATTTGCTTAAAGTGTATATAAGATGGAATACAACTTTCTTTTTACTAAAATGTCCAGTTATTTTTTAAGGAGTAAATATAGTATGTGTGAGAAAAAAAAACAGAAACACACATGCCTATGAAGAATGAACAAGTAAAAGGGATATCAAAGTAAAAACAAATGATTGCAATGAATTTTCAATGTCTTCATTATAGGCATGGTTGTCAAAAGTAAAATTTTACTATAATGCATTTGATGATTTTAAGGCCCAAAAATAATATGGTATCTCTGATACAAATGAAGAAAAAAAAAATCGAAAAAAATAACAATTAATTAAATCAATATTATAAAAATTCAAAAAAAAGTAAAAACTAAAAATAAAATTGAAGTTGAGGTCCCAAAACAAATAATAATAAAAATTTGAAATATCAATCTCACTTAGTGGACTAATAACAAATTAAAAACTATACAAATACTAGCAAAAAAAAAAAAAAACAAACTATACAAATAAGAAAACTTCATTCTAAAATTGGTAAAAGCATTTTAGATAAAGAGATGTGTCAAATATTTAGACTAAACACTTTTTTTTATTATTGGATTGAAGTAACCTACTAAATCTTAATATACATCAATTTTTTTCTTTTAAAGTAATACATTATGTCAAAAGCTTTTGTTAACTTCAAAATAATTAAAAATATATATTTTTCTATTTTTCAATATTAAATAAATAATATTTATATATTTTAGTAGATTAAATGAGTTGACTTAGAAACTCAAGCAGTTTAACTTGCAAGTTATGCAGATCAACCCACATAAACCCTCAATTTTATATTTAAACTTGCAAAATTACAATTTTTTACAAGTGAAACATCATATACTCAGCTCCAATAGCATATGCAATAATACATACCGAAGCCACATAATAAAACGCAAATAAAAATCATTATAATTATATTTGCTCTTATACGTAAAAGCATAGATTTTAAAACGCGTGTTTTTGTCTAATCAATTTAAAGAGTAAAGTATTTTTCTTTCACGATATTTATTTAAGGCATTTTAAGATGTTCAACCTGAAAAAGAGCTTTTAACGATTTTGGTTATTACTGAAAAAAATTATATAATTGTATATTTTGATAAATTAAAAATTGTGTTATATTATCGTATTCATAACCTTTTTTTTTTTCGGAACATAACTCAAATAATATTAAATGCATTTCAAAAATAAATTATTACAAAATCAAATCTTGGTTAAATAGTTAAAAATGAATTATTACAAAAACAACATTCATCCATGAATTATTTTAATAAAACAATGCTTAACTCTCTACCATATAATGAAAATGGAATAGAAATTTTGTGAATCTTAGAGCACATCAAAGTCACCTTTTGGGTCACAATCATTTTCTTTCTGTAAGGTTGTGTGTGTTGTAATTTGGAGAAGAAATAGCGATACATCAGTAAACGGATGATTGGTTGGGGTTGGACAGCGCAACACTAACAACAGAGGCGTTTGAGTTGTGTACGCAAATTGAAAAACAAAAACTCAGTGGCTTGATTATGTGTTCTTCTGGTTCTGCGTCTCCATCTTTTAAGTCAAATCAAATGGGAAACTTTTTGTTTCTAATTCTATGTCAGATTAATTCTATAGGAAAAATGATAATTTCTATTAATATTGAGTAAAATTTTAAATTACTTTCGTTGAATAATTTAAATTTAACTTATAAAAGTGTATAAGATAACATTTTATATTTGTAAAAGTGTATAAGAAAATTCTTCTATTATTAAAATGTTTAGTTTTTTATTCTTGAATAAAAATAATTTAAAATTTTTACACATTAAAAAAAATAAAATAAACTGGCAATAACGGAATAACTTTTTTTTAAAATATAAATTATCGCGTTATACATTTTCAAACATCAGATTCTAAAATTACACATAAAAAGTTGACTTTATCTTAATTTAAATTCAAATGAAAATTTAAATTGGTTTGATTAAATAATTTAATCATATTTTATTTCAACTAATAAAACTAGTGGCTAATTTCATCTAATTATTAAACAGATTAAAAAATGTCAACTATCGTATTTATAGTATTATTCAACTCTGTCGTATATCCTATTCTTGTAGTGCTAAATAATTTCCGATGGAACGATAACGAAGGAAACGTGCCATGTCGCTGTACTTTGCATGGTTTGGTTTATTTTGAAATTTGGAAGGTAAAATTTGGATACCTTGTCATAGTTTTATACGAGGAAACTTAAAGTATGTTTGGTTTTAAAAATAAATCATTGTACAAATTTAATACATTTAAATTTACATCATCATGTGTAATTATCTCCAAATATATAGTTTGGTACGATGATGCTTTGTTATTTGTCTTTAATCATGATTGAAGTGTATGATTGTCATCTAATTAATTATAAGTTTTTGTATTTCGGGCACAATGTTGTTAAAAGTTTAGATCAAAAGAATAAAGTTGACATTATCATTTATACAGGACATAAAATGTCTTATACTGATACCTTTTTTTTTTTTTCTTTTTTGCATTAAACGGATTATTATTTTTTGAAAGTTTTTAAATGTGTGTTTAATAAAAAATATTATTTATTACTTTCTTATACTTTACCTTATATCACATTAGATGAACTATATTTTTAAGGAAAATAACCAACACCGAGAAGATTAAAAGAGCTACTCATATTTTAAAGAGAGATTAAAAGAATCAC